GTTCTCTCTCTCAAGAACGCGTCGTGAGGAGCAGTGACTCTCTCTTTCTGATCGTGGTAAATCTCCTTCATCCTTAAGTTATTTGTTGTTTATTCTCTCTTATGTGTTACTAGTGAGGTTCGCGTTCATTTCTAAGGTGTGGTGGAGTTACAGGGATTTTCATGGGAGGTTTGTTATTGAGATGGAGGAATTGATGTGAGAACGTGTTTCGGGGGTAATGTCACGATGCTGGTTTTGTATGTAAGTAGTTTATAATCGGTGTATATATATACTAATTTTCTGAAGTGTCTGTCGTGTAACTGTGTAGTAACTATTCTTTCATCTTAAAGCCCCTTTTTGTCAGGATTTCTCTGAATGTGGAATATATTACAAGAAAGTTTTTGTTCATGATTGTATAACTTTGTCAGTTTCCTTGGTTATTTTCTTATTAGCAACACCAGACGAACTTTAATGTTCTCCAAAAATGTACGACCCACAAAGCTTTATTTTCTATGAGGCTTATCTACCTGCACATGTTCATAGTTTAACAAAAACCCATTAGTAATATATATGTAAGAGTGAAAAGGTCTCGTGGCACAGTGGGCTGTTGGCCTTTGCCAGAGCGCCGACAGACCTCAAAGTAAAGCCATTATTTATACTTGTACATCACTCTTCTGTTACTTTCAATGGGACTTTCATGGTTAAATACTGAATTTGGTTTAATACAAGATTTTAAATAGTATCCCCGCCTTGTGGAATCCTTAGTATACCTTTCCTTGCCTATCGAGATCCATATGGTTTTAATGGGCCGAGATTAATGTAACTGCAGAGAGTATGTATTCTGTGCTGGAGGTGCTAAGCATTCAGGAAAGGTTCACCCGGCTTAATTATATATAAAATTGATGGGAAGAGTGGAGTGACTGCCTCTGTGTAAAAATGGCAATTGCTGTAGTACATAGGATGCTTCAAGGCCCAACACATTCCATTGAGGAAACTGCAAACTTGGTTTTTTCTTTCCAAGTGTTGGGAGAGTAACCCATAGTGTCTAAGACTGCCTTATCAGTAATTGTAGTTTTTTCAACTATGGAACATAGAATTTTTGGAATCTATGATAATTTTTAAAACAAAACCAACTGCTGTGTTATTAGAAATAGAAAACTAAGGTTTGTCTTTATCTTTATTTCAGGTAGTGTACAGGTGAGCCCAAGCATAGATAGGCGTCGTCTGGTACGAGTCCCACACTAGACAACATGCCGTTCGTACCCCAAAACTCCCAACCAAGTTCTGGGTTCTGCAGTGCCGCAGGCCAGCAATGCCCCAGCTGGAACTATGGGTGTGCCGAGCATAGAAGATTGCGAAGGCACATCCAGTCGCAGTGGAAGAAGAGGAACAGTGAAAGTATGGAGGTGAGACTTGCAACACTGAATATTGGCACCATGGCTGGAAAGATGGTTGAATGTGATAGGAAGATAACTACTTTACTTCAAAGTTATAGTAAAGGTTTGCAGGATGAGTTTAGTGTTGAAGAGGGAAGGTAGCAGTGGCAAGGTTAGTGCCAAGAAGTGATGGGGCATGGGATGGGACAGCTGTAGAATCACTTAGGCTGATAGGAAGGAAGTTGGTGTGACTTCTGAACAGAGGAAGGAAGTGAAGACGACTTGATGGAACAAGGAAGCTCGGGGGGAAACTATCCCTTCGATTACCCTATTTTTAGTGAACCTCTTCCTCTTTGTAAAGAAAGTCGCCGAGAGTACAGGAAGATTAAATGGGAGGCAAATGCCAAGGAAAAGGCTTTATTATGAAAAGTTGAATACAAATCGAGGATAAACATGCATAGTCAGTCGCCAAAAGACCTGGCTTAGAGAATATGGTTAGCATAAGCTTGATATATCCCTTGTTATTACTTTTTCTTTTTTTGTGTGCAGAGTATCTACGCCTAATTCCAAGCTGTTATTTGTCAGGACAAATTCTAGGAAGTGGTAACCCAGATAGTTTGTAAGGGAATGGGGAAGAATAATAAGGTTTTAGACAAGGTGTTGAATGTGTTGTGTGTTCTACTTGCAGTTTTTAAAGAAAAATATCAAAGTTGGTCTACCTTTTTTTTTTTTTTTTTTTTTTTTTTTTTTTTTTCTCCCCCCCCCCCCCCCTCCTACATAGTTCAGTTTCATGATGTAGGAGCAGGTGTCCAGGTTTTCTATTTGTTCAAATGTTTTTAAATATGGTTGTTACTTATTGAATGATGAATCACGACAAACTAGTCTCCGAAACTATGTGAGGAGGAATTAGAAGCTGAGAATAGAAATTAAAAACTATATATAAAATGTTGTAGTTCATGATATTAATATTTTCCCTTTTTTCATTCCCCGTTTCAGCAATGAAGCCTTGTATTTCACTTTCATGTGACTTGAAAAGGTAAGGATGCACAAGTGGTTTGTCATTAAAGTAATCCATTTTAGTTTAGTTTTTTAAAATTCTTTCCATGATAGTGATGAATATTACAAACTAGAGTCTCTGACAAATGTGAGGACAATTTTTAATACTGAAAAAAATCTAATTAGGATATTGCTTGTCTAGTCATATTACAGTTGGTTAATATAGTACGTTTTTATTTACAGTGGATTTGATCTTTACCTAGATGGCTCTTGATACTTGGACTGAAGAAAGGTAAGAATCTTGATGGTGCAAAGTTCAGATTTTGGGAAGTAAATGGGTTTCTTTAGAAGCTGTTGGTTGCTTTTGTAAAGGTATTGGAGTATATTCATAAATCGAACATGATGAACTTTTACAAACTAGAGTCTCTGAATCTGTGTGAGGACAAAATGTATCTGAAATTGGATAATGCAGTTGCTGCAGTTATTGTCTTGGCAAGTTACAATGTCTAAATAGTTTTTCTATTTACAGTGGAGTGTAATCCTGGTTTCGGAAAGCAGCAGACTTCACTAAGGGATGAAGGTAAATATGAATATTCTTTTCATCTAGCTTAATGTTTTGACTATAAGGTATGAGCAGACTAATCCTGAAGTGTTACACTAGTCTCTGACTCTGCAAGGAAATGTTATGGACCTGAAACAAGAGGCATAATCCTCTTTAAGTGCTTGCAGTAAAGATTTTTTTTTTTTTTCAAATCTTTCCAGAAAGATCAGCTCGAGACATGACTCTTGCATTATTGGGTAGGATGTTGCAATGCAACATAAGGGGAAGTTTTTCCAGCAGGCCCAGTATAAAAGGCCACTTAAAGTGTAGACCCTCAGTCTGATATAAAGAATGTCCGATGGTCGTCTTAGTGCCCGTGCATACATTCTAAGAACTAAACTATCTGGGCAGGAAATGCATTTGGGGAAACCATTACTTCAAAAATCTTTACTTTCCTCCCCTGTACTGGCCTAAATTGTGGCCCAGAGGGAAAGGGTTAAATTTGCCCATCTGATTTTCATAAATTTAAAGTAAAATTTACTGTAACTACTCTGCAATATTTAAAATGCTTAAATATATCTTGAATTAAATTTGTAGCACTAGATTTGAATATCTAGTATGTTCTCTAATGTTATTTGTGCCACCCTCGATCAGTAGGTATTACCTGTGTTTGCTTACTTTTGCAAGAGTGGTAGAGAAACAAGTGTTACCAGCGGAGCCTTGTATCCAGTATCTTGGTTCTTCCTAGATAACGCAAACATAAGATTCTATTTATTCATTAAATAGAGATTACTTCTAGGAGTTACTGTGCTAATCCATAATCTTTTTTATCTTCAGGGCATCTTGGAATTTGCAAGATGGTGCAGAATTCATGGAAGTATAAATGGACTGGCCCCCCATCAGTTGCAAATTGTCAGGTAAGATAACTTTAGTTCAATACTTTTCTTGATTCTATATAATGCTCAATTTGCATGTATGCCACTCTCAAAGGGCAGAAGAAACCATTTCATGTTCTCCTGTTGTATACAAGTGGCAAGATAATTTGAGGGTTACCAGTAGATCCTGTTGTATATCAAGGTCTCCGCTGATAACCCTTGCACAGTTTTATTGATATAGGATTTCTTCTAAAAATATCTAAGAATTCAATCCTAAATTAGAATTCAAAATCTTTTCAGGGTGAGCTGTGTGAAGTGAGGACCCTTGTCTACAAAGTTTTTCAAGGGAGGTTTAAACTCTGAAGTCTGAGATTAACTACAGAAAACCACTATACTGAAGTTGGCCCTTTGTAATCCTCACGTACAGGTAAGAAAATGAAGTGCTGAAAGAAACCTACTTTGATTCCTTGTAATTACTCGAAGGATGAAACTGGAGAAGGTTCGCAATATTTAAACTGAAATTTGTGACGAAATATCTCCTGCCTGGCTGACAGAATTTGATAACTTGTATACGAGACCTGTGTATGCAACCTTTTGACTGTTGTGCATTCTTTTGCAGATGGAGACGATCAACCTTGAAGTGGGGATATAGTACAGCAATGCTCCATAGATCTGCACTGTTTTTAGTGAGTAAAATTTCTGGATTTTTCAAGTATTGTCAAAATGGGTTTCAGAAAGCCTACACAATGTTTGTGTAGGCTTTTGAATGTATTGTATGATGAACAAATGTATTCCACTTGCCCCAGTTCATCCACAGGGTTTTCTTATGTAGAAGTTCTGGTCAGTAAATTGGGGTAGAAAAACTCTCATGACCTACTGTGGGTAGATGATTTGGACCTCTACCTCGGGAAATGTGATACACTGTTGGACTGTCATATCCACCATCTTGAGCAGTTTGACCATTTACTAATGCTTGGTTTTTCTTGCAGGTTACAGTTGCTGGTCGTCTTGATTATGGAAATATTCCAGTAATTTCACTAGGTAAGATTAATTGATTTAAAATGTCGTGCCTTTAATTTACTAGGTAACATTTACTGAGATGGTGTCCTAAGGATTTAGTTTTGTAAATTGATACTTAGAGTTAGGTATGTTTATATCGATTTGAAGTGATTACTTTCTAATCCTGTCAGTATCTGGTTATTTAAATTGAATCTACTGTTAAAGGCTTAACCTTAGTGTAAAAATTCTGTTGACCTACTTTTTAATCCTGCTTATTACATGTATTTAGATGACATTGTAAGGGAATTTATTAGTTTAAATGATGCTTATCACTATCTTTCGGCTGATTGCCATTGATGAATCTTTTTTCTTACTGATGAAAAGAAATCAATGTTAAAAAAAAAAATTAAGGTAAAAATTGGTTAAACTATATTTTCTTTTTCAGATGTTGCAGCAATAGTGGCAACCTGTTCTGTACTTCATCTACTGTGGGGGGGAGGGATTGAACTTGTTTCCAAAAATATACGATTTGAAACAGTATGAGCATCTTAATCCTCCCAAACCTAAGGTATAAAGCCTCAAGACCAAAGATGTCATTTTAGTCCTAGTGAAGCAAGTCCTTTGTCTTTGTCTTTTTTTTAGTGAATGAAATAAGTCCAGGGTTGTCATGCTCATGGTCTGCGGGCTGTCCCCTGGAATCCTAAGTGACCTGCAGGATAAGAAATTTAAACTTGTGAAATTGATTTCTATGTAAAAAAAAGTCTTGCAACTTATTTTATAATCTGCTAGAGTAAATAAATTAAGCCCAAATACCAAGTTTTAGCACCTTTTTGGTCTTTTCTCCTTTTCCTTTTCTTCATTCCCTTGTTCTGTCTACTTATCCAAATCATTAAACTCGGATTTTTGCAAGTTTCGCCACAAAATGCTCCCTGCTCTAACTCCCCCTTCAAACAATCTTTCCCTTATTGTATCCCATCAGCTCCACTCTCTACCCTTTTCACTAACAAACTACGCTCTAGTACTATTCAACCTGTAACTTTGCCCTAATCACTCTCATTCCTAACCCTTATTATGCTACTTTACCATAGCGCCTTATGACCTTTCATGTCATCTAGCCCTTCCTTACCTAAGGGCTTTGCCTTCAGGCCTCCCACTGCTGTTGCGTTTTGAATACGCCGCTAATGACCGTGTACGTTGATGCGGCAGAAAATCTTTAAAAAATAATTAGTAATGGGCAGACAATGGCCAATTATTATTGCCTGATTCACATCTTCACGTGTGTTAATGTAACGCCTTTTATAACCCGTGACTGGTACGCTAGCACAAGCACGACTGTTAATGTCTTCTGTTACCATTTATATTTGCTCCCTCCTCCCCCCTCCCCTAATCCCTTGCTCGTTGTTGGGGGGCAGGGTCCTTAGGGTGGCCCTCTACACTGGGCCTTAGTCTGACACCTATCTTGGACCACAGCCCTCCCCTCAACTTTGTAGTCTTTTCTCCTGTTTTTTCCTTCACTTCATCCCTTCTGTCCACTTATCTTAATCGTTAAGTCTTGCCCCACAATACTACGTAACAATGCTGTGACTTTTGAAGTCTGTCATATTTTGTTTTTGACCATTGACCATTCTGGAAATCCACAAACATCGCCTTGTGAACAAAAGACGAAAAACCCTAAGAGCTCCGCACCCTCAAGCTATATTTTATATACGGTGCTAATGACATTAGATGTGACGCGGCAGAAAATTCAAATAAATCCTTTCTCACTATACATGTGATGCAATTGTCGGGAAACCCCCTATGGCACCAGTTTAATGCCAGTTTGGTTGCAGGAAAAAATTGGTAATCATTTGGGTTGTTGCCCTCTCATGAAGGTTCCAATCCAAATTTATTAAACTTCCTGCCGCGCCAACATCAAGATCATTGGTAGCGTATTCAAATTATAGCTATAGGGTTGGGGCTCGGAAATGCGAAGCCCCCGGCTAAGATTTTTTGTAAGGCGATGTCTCTGGATTCCCAGAATGGTTGATGGTCAAATGTACCAGACCTCAAAGTTCATACAGCATTTTTATAAACTCTGGCAAAAAGGGTAAACATGAGTAGGATAAGTGGACATACCAAGGGGATGAAGAAAAGACCATACAAAAATAGTAGAGGCAAGGGCTGAGGTCCAAGGCAGGAGTGATCCTCACATTGGGGCCCACCTCCACGACAACAGATCGAATAAGAAAAATCATGCTTGGTTTCAGGGTGTCTGTGGCACCTAAAAAGCATTCACTGGTTAATGGTTACAAAGCAAAACATGTTGCAGGAAGAACGAAGGAAAGTTCAGGAAAACACACGAATATGCTGAAGGCCTTTTCGCATTTACTGCTTCATCAGGGCATGATAGTGTAATAGTGAAAAATGTGAAGGGGGGAGGGGGGGTTAGTTGACATTTTAATCAAGTCAGAAGTTCAGCAGTTGAAGGTAGGGATTATTAAAGTTGTCAGAGGCAGATGTGGGATATTGTCTGTGTGTGTGTGGGGGGGGTAAGGTAGGGATTAACAAAGAGGGGTCTAAGGGTAAAGAGATTCGTTTCTGGGAGAATGTGAGGAGGCAAAGAATCCAGGAAAGGGGGGGGGGGGGTGCCGTGATAAAGGGTCACATGCAGGGGGAGGGAGTGGAAAGGTTTTGGGGGAAACCTGAGGATGACAATGGAAAGATGTTGGCAATTACTATGAGTGTACAAGGAATGGGAGTAGAAACATTGCCTACACCTCATTCATCCTCCATATTATTTTGGATCATAATTAGATCATTTTGAATGTCTTCAAAAATTTCTACAGTGGTTCTTGGGTGTGGACAGATGTTTGAGGGATGGAGAGGATGGGACCTGTATGTAGTGATTGGAATAATAGTGAAGATTGGGGGTGTCTATTTAGAAAGAAATATTTGACTGGGAGAGGTGGGACAAGAAAGATGCTGGGGTAGATGAGAAACCTCTTGGGAGGAAAGGGGAAGGGTAGAGCCATTGGAGTGCTTCCTGCCTGGATACACGTTGAGGCCAAGGTTGAATCCATGACGCGTTTGATAAATTGCAACCCTCTTACAAGGATTTCATTTCTTTCTTCGTGCCTGTATGCTAAGGATAGCCACTTTACAGCCGGTTAGTTCAACTATGACTAACCAGTGTCAAGACTGTGGCTTTGGCGAATTTAGAAAAAGAAAAAAAATCATTTTTGCCGAATACTTGAGTGTGCAAGGAGTGGGGCACAGACTGCCGAACAAGAAAAATTATAAATTAAGGAAAAACTCGTGTAAGATGCCAACTTCAGTCATCAATATTCAAGTATACTTTTATCAAAGTCACAGGCATTGAAAGGAATCCGTTTCGTCAATAGATTTTTTTCTAATGAACTAGTTACACGAACCAGGCTATAAAAAAAAAAAGGATCCTATGATTGTTTGCTGGTGTTCGGGATTTTCCGATAGGTGTGATCCTCCTATAAACCTTTACCATAATGGTACAAGGTCTTTATTACTTGCGAAGGTAAGCCTAGGATATATTCGGGAGAAATAATCCCTCGTGGGGCAACGGCAAAACCGAACAGTTAAACAGAGCCCATGGCCACTCCTGGCCGTTTATGACTGGTACAAAGGCAGCCTCTCATCTGTTCAACATCACTCATGGAAATTGCTAGTTAAAGGGTTAAAGGAAAATGGACTAGTCAAGGGGTGAAGCCCCAAGGTAAGGGTGATCCCCAGCAATGGGTCTAAATCCGTCAACAATGGACATGTGATTAAAGTGGAAAATCTATGGAAGTAAATTAAAAACTAATTTTAAGACTGGGGGGGGGGGGGTATGGTTTTGTTCCTCACATTTTTTTTAAAGGGTTTTAGTTTATAAACATCCATGTGAAACCAACACAGGAAAATGTAGTTTAAAATTTCTTCGAGTTAAAACCTGTAGAATAAAGTGGAATTTGGCTTTCTAGTCGCATTTTATGCAGTTAAATATTCAAGTTCTCAGTTTATATACCAAGAATTTCTAATTGCAACATTCAAATCCATTTTCTAGGAGGGACAAAAACACAAGCGTAACACGAATACCTTTATTAAGAAAATTTATTCACAGAACCAATTAGAAAATTAGTTCCCTAAACTTTGATCAAACCATTCCAACCAGTGGGAAATCACAGCTCTCCGCACTGAGCAGCCAAGACCATGCGAGTGCTCCATCATCCACAATCCCTTTGGTGTCATTTCCAGGATCTCCAGCAACTGGATGTAGGGGTGTAAAGAAGTTCCATCTGAAACCTAGAAATTAACGGGCTCTAGAATTCCATATTTGGAAAAATTTTACAATGATACAAAGTCGTCGTTCAGTAAAATAAGTTATCATCAATGGCAGTCAGCCGAAAGATAGTGTAAAGCATCATGTCAAGAAATGTCAAAACTTATTAAGCACACAACTAACAAACCTTATAATGCCCCTTTTCAGCTATGCACACAAGTAGCCGGGGTGGATCTGGAAGTAGAAGCATTAACCAAAAATTAAAATCAAATACACACCAAATACAGAAGGTTCAAACTTTGAAAATATTCCAATGTTTCTGATACTAAGTGTTGCAGCAAGATTGGCTTGCTCAAACGGGGGATCAGATTTTATCTTGCACAAAATAAAAATCTGGATAGCAGTCTTATCACACCAGATGCTGACATGTGCATACTATATCAACCTTTTATATCTACAAACTTTAACAGTGGCAAGTAGATTAATAAGTTTAGCATCAATTTTATATTAACTTTGAATGGGTTGGGAAAAGAGAAAAAAGTGGAAAAATACAAAATTACATACCAGTACTTTCATTTCTCATTAAACACTAATCAAACAATCTTTAAAAGTAAACTTACCTATGCTCAGAGCTGCCGACACATGAAGGGACGGTTAAAGCAAGAATATTCCCTTTCATCTTGAGACCTGTAGCTTTTGGCATCTGATTTAGCACACTAAGACTGCCAAGGGAAGGTTTCTTTGATGCATATTCAAGTGATGATAATTTCCCCCAATGTCTGGAAAAGTTAATTCCATTACATAAATAGGTTCACACACATCTTATTCATTGCAAGATCAAGTGCTTTCAGAGAGATTCCCAACGATAAATAATCATAGTTATCATATGTCCCTATCTTATTGTCATCATAAGAAGCCAGTTTGGCAGGTAGCAGTTTATACCAAGATCAGCGATATTTACCTTTCCTCCAAAATTTATACTAGACAGCAGGTAAGTGGGAGAGTAAGTAGTAGCAATTTCAAGGTCTTAACTGAACAAACTTGATCTTCCATGTTGACCTTCACTTGTTTGCTGTCAGATGACCGCTATAAAGGTTTGTTTCACCTCTTGAAAGCATGGACATGGGGTACACCTCAACCTGCAAGTAATATGGTTTATAAGCAACAGGAAATAAATGTGCACATTATCTTTTACAAATTTTAATTTCAGAGAGATTCCCAACGATAAATAATCACAGTTATCATATGTCCCTATCTTCTTGTCATCATAATACTAGGTTAAGGTTACTTTAGCTGAACATTGGCAAAGATCTTACCTTTACTCAAGCAATCATGGTCCTTAGGAGTGTATCCAGCTTCTGAAAGTAAAATACATAATACATAAGCAAGACTTACTAATACAATTTCTTTTTTTTTTTCCATAATGCATTCAGAAAGATTCCCACTGATAAATAATCACATTTTTCATATGTCCCTATCTTATTGTCATCATTTAATACCATATTCCAGTTTGCCAAAATAATGAAACTTACCTTACAAAGTCATCTCAAATGTATTTTGAGATTTCAGTACAAAGTTGAATGTTGGTGGACTATTCCCATTCCACATGAGCAGATCCTGTAATAAATAAAAATGGAAATTAGGGAACACTGGCAAAAAGGGGTTATTTATATACCTAGTTAGTTTTCTTCAGAATAATGTTGTCCTCACACTAATTCGGAGACTCTAGTTTGTAAATATTCATCACTTTACTCAACAATGTTACTGTAACACTTTAAATAGGCTTACCTTGGTAAATTCCATACTCGGTGCTTCATAGCTGGAATTTAAGAAAATGAATTACTGTTATGTTGCTACATATAATGGGTTACTATAAATTTCATTAAAAAAAAATAATAAAATCAGACAGGCAGGAGATATTTCAATCATGAAATTTCGGACAAAATTTGCGAACCCTCCTATTTCATCAGTCAATATATAAAAATAGCCAAAATATCCCACTTACTCTTAATGTGAAAAGAAATTTTCCTCCCAGTTTTATTGAAGCTGCAAATTGCTATTTTTGAAGTGCAAAACCTTTTAACAGGTTGCCTTCCATACATTCCCCTTCATTTAATATACATGCTTTTCTCCCCATAGTGCATCAATAATTTGGTCCTTGCCAAATCGGAACTTACCAATGCCTAGACGGGACTTTAGGGAAAGAGGATCTATGCCATCTTGTTAAAGTTGTATAATCCTAGCGCTCGACTTCAGGAACATTCTGCAAATCCTGAAAATAAAGGTAAAAAGCATAAAAAAAATATAGTCCCTGGTACATGAAGGCTCAGCCCCCACAAGGAGATTAAGAGTTGCAAGGCATTTGTCATTTGTAGTTAAACGTGGATATGGGGGTATGGGTGTGTGATGCCCCTCATTCACAAATTTGAAGTTCAGCTTGAACAAATTAGCAATCTTTTTAAAAAGTTGGTAGTTCTAGGCATTCCCATTAAAAACTCTAGCACCCATATGAACTGACAAATAGGCATTGGTGTAAGGCACATGCACTATAAGGTACACTACCTCGCATATCATTTGCCAAAGTTACTCAGCCTCCCCAATCTGAATTTAAATCCTCTCAAGTAAGATTTGAGAAAAATAAGCAATACACAGATATTAATAAACAATTTATGGAATGCAAATCAATCCTTTACAATTCTAATACAACAATAACTGTACTGAAAGTACATTATTGTACTACACTGATCTTTAGGAATGTCAGGATTTTCTAGGAAGACCCAAGATGATGACATCAGGTTCCGCTGGAAACCCTCTTTTTCCTCTGCCACTATTGACAAGCCAGGCACGACAAAAGGTACAATACCTGGTAATCGATTAGTGGGACTTAAAATATACATGGCAAGCTTCAATTCTTACCTGGTTCATAGGCATTCGTCCTCCAGGCCAAGCCTCTAGCATATCTGAAAGTATCAAAACACCATTAACAACTTGGGCAAGACCTAAATTTTACAAAATACATTAATGCATTTGCAGAAACATTTTACTGGACTAGAAATGCTCAACAAACCTCTGCAAAGGCTATCAAAGTAATAGTTAAAACCGGTTACTTTTTTTTTTTTCTATGTGATAAAGCTGTCAGGATTTTCTAGGAAGACCCAAGATGATGACATCAGGTTCCGCTGGAAACCCTTTTTTTTCCTCTGCCACTATTGACAAGCCAGGCACGACAAAAGGCACAATACCTGGTAATCGATTAGTGGTATTCACCTTTCCTTTACATCATTAATCTAGACGCATCTCATACCCCTTTCACAATTACTTCAAGAGTATAGATTAGACTAATGTATCTACAAAGATGGGTATAATTATTTTATACCCTTCTAATGGTATGAATAACTAAAAGAAATCTTATCAAAATGGCTTTCTCTCATTTAATACAAGATTATGAAATCCTCAAAAAG